GTGAATTTCAAGGAAGGCCAGGCATTTCACATATCGCATTCTGTAATGATATTGTCGATGAAACTGGGTCAGATGGTGAGACCTAGGCGAGTTCGAACTTGCAATCCACTACTGCCAGGATGTGAATATCTTTTGGTAAGCAAGGCTATGTGAATTTAGATAGAAAATTGTGGAAAAATTCAACTACCGGTCCTTCCTCACCTTAAACGGAATACAAGGAATACAGCTCCTATATCAGGTCTACTGGTAACTTTGAAGACCCACTTATGAAACTACACGAGATAAAGTCGTCACAAACCTGCATTTTTATAGGATTTGAAAGCTTGACAGCCAAGCGAAATATTAGCTAATCTATTGAAATTAAGAGCTTAAGCAATATTCCGAATATTACAAACGAGTGTGTAAAATTCCCAGTAGGAAAAACTTGAGTGGCCTGGGCTATAAATTGTCAACTGCTTCAGGAGTATTACATTGACCCAAAGCACATGCATCTACAAACCTAAAACAGGCATCCGCATTGCGGGATCAAGCGCTAACCTATGCATAAATTTATGCTTATTTAAGTAAGCATCATCTTATCTCGTCCTCTTGCTTGTAGGGTACACATACCATTTTCAGCGAACTAATGAGATACCCCATTAAGCTCACAAAGTTGGGCATAAGAATTATGTAAGATTTCATAAGGCCATCTAGTTTGGTTTTGTGTTTTTTTGTGAATTTTCCTTAATGGTGGTATTTGGCTCTGGTGATGTCTGTCACATGACGGACGAAAACTCAATCCGGATTCTTTGGTGTCGCAGGACTGTGAGTCCAGATTTCCAACTCAAAATCCTGTAAGGTAATCTGTTTTCGCTACCCGGTGAGGCCAATTTAGGAAACCCTTACACTCGTCTTTTCACATCAAACGAAAGATACCCCAGCGTCGGGCCACAATCACCCAAGCTAATTACTCTGCTGTCCGGAGGTCGGATTCGGCCAGCCATAGCCATTGACGACCCGGACAGAGGTGGGCACTCCAGCGTCGGAAGCTCGAGCCCCTCCGGCAACGGTTGCTACGGGCGGCGCGGATCTCGTACTGGCCTGTCTGACGCGATAGAAGCAGGCGGAGGTGAGCAAGAGGGCCGAGTTGAACGCCATCAGCTCCCAGAGCATCACTTTGCGTTGGATGTTGAGCCCAATCATGACGGTCAGATACCAGCAGACGAAACTGGTCAGGCTGTAGGCGGTGAAGAGGTGGGTGCCATCCAGTTGCGTCGAGGGCTGAGAGCCTGGGACGCTGAAAAAGCGAAGGAGCAGACAAGATCGTGAAAGTGAATAAAAGTAAGAGACGGATGAGAGATGAGGATATGTGAGTGCAAGTCAGCGATTGAGGCAAGAGGTAGAGAATGGAATGTAAACAAATAAAATATTTTTCGGGTTTGAGTAGTGTCGAGACTACCAGTAAATCAGTAATATGAGATGTATTCACCCTATTTCGTTTAAGGTGATGAAGGACT